ATAAAAAAATGAGCATACACAAATTTCATGATCAGAAAAAAAAAGACTTTTACATTTATTTTTTTATTATTATTATTTTTTTTTTGTCTTTTTGTCTTTTTCCGTGTCCGGCAAAGGATCGCAACCCTCAGTGTTGCCCCCGTACCGGACCGGGGACCGGCAACGGGACTGCAACCCTCAGTGTTGCTCCCGCGCCTCGCTCAGCCAGTGAGCGGGAACCGGTCTGCATGTGGGATCCGAACCCTCGGGCGGGAGCGCCACCGCGCTTCCCAAGCGGCGCACTATCCAGTGCGCCACTGGGCCGGCCCTACATTTATTTTTAAACCCTCCTGCTCAAGGACAGACCTCAGAGTAAAACTAGGAACATGCATAATCCAGTTTTTAGCTAAATACATTGTATATTACCATCTCAACTAACTATCGATGCCTACCAAATTCCTCTTATTTCCCCCCAATCTTATAGGCTGTTTTAGAAAAATAAAAAAAAAAATGCCAACAATATTAATTCTGCAAAAGATAAAGTACTAAACATGGCCTTACTTGCAGGTCTTTTTTTCATACTCCCATACAGTCACCACATGATTGTTGTAATGGCATAGATAAGATCTATGCTAGTCCTTAAAAACTTTAACAAACTCTGAAATTCAGAGGCTTTTTAACAGTCTGTTCACTGAAACCACTCAGAATATGCCACTAATACAGGAAGAAAGCACTTTGATTGACAGCATCATCAATTTTTAATCATCTCAAGCACATTATCTATTTGGAACATATGCAGTAAATTCACTGTCATCGACACCATGATGTCATGCAGCAGGAGACTACTTATGGATGCACATTCATTTTACTATTAGGGAAGAAAATTTGCTACAAAGCAATTTTTTAAATGTACTCCTAAAAAACAAATATAAATGATTCAGTGATTATCCCTTATTTTGGTTTCTCTCTGTACTCTGGCCTCCATCAGCAGAGGTGATCAGGAGCAGGCTGGAAGTCAGACTTGCTCATGTTCTGGAAGTTTGAGGTCACATATTGGTGCAAGTGGTTCTGCTGACAAGATACTATTCAATGCAGCAAGCAAGAAGGCCCAAGGCAAAAGTCAAGTTTCTTTCCATTAGAGACTGCATTGTGAGGTCACTATCATTAGCTGGATCATGTCACATCCAAATTAAAGATTATATAAAGATATTTTTATAAGTGCTAAGTGTCTGAATAACAAAAACATAAAAAAATCTTAAATTTTCCTACAAACTAATTTTCTTCTGTTTTGAAAGGAAAATTCTTCAATTGTCTTACAAGGTATTCTGTGGTAATGTCATTCAAAATTAAAAGAATCTATACTAAGCATGTTCTCATTTAATTTTTAAAAATTTTATCTTTTTTTTTTTTAAGCATAAATGATGTCATACTGTATGTAATGTTTTTTTTTTTTTTTGGTGGCTGGCCAGTAAAGGGATCCAAACCCTTGACCCTGGTGTTATAACACCACACTAACCAACTGAGCTAATGGGCTGGCTCCTATAACTTTTTATAATTAATGAATTATGCAGAAATTTTTATGTCTATACATATGGATCTTTTTCATTGCATTTAACTATATGGATGTACTATTAATTCATTTAATCATTTACCGATTGATGAATTCTTCAGTTTTTAATTTTTAGTTATAACAAAAATGCCACAATAAATATATTTATTACACACAGTGAATATTTCCTTAGGGTAGATATTTAGAAATAGAATTGCCAGGGCATCATTTTTTAATTCAACAAGAAACTGTCAAAGTGTCCCTTAAAAAGGCTGTTGCGGGCTGGCCCCGTGGCTCACTCGGGAGAGTGCCGAGGCCGCAGGTCCAGATCCTATATAGGAATGGCCGGTGTGCTCACTGGCTGAGCGTGGTGCGAACAACACCAAGCCTAGGGTTGCGACCCCCTTACCGGTCAAAAAAAAAAAAGAAAAAAAAAGGCTGTTGCAATTTATATCACTACCCGTTACCACTACCAGTACTACCTCACATCTGTTTCCCTATACATTCACCAATACCAAATATTTTCAATCTTTAAAATATCTGCCAATTTAATGAACAAAATATGAGAGTTCACTATTTTAACTTACATTTCCCAGATCACTACTGAGAGGTTTACCGGCCACTCATATTTTTTCTCTTCTGTGAAATATCTATTTCGAACCTTTGCCCATTTTCCTCTTTCTTTTTACCTGTGGAAATTTTTATATATTCTGAATTTTTTTTTTTTTTTTGGTGGCTGGCTGGTACAAGGATCCAAACCCTTGACCTTGGTGTTACCAGCACCATGCTCTCTCAAGTGGCCAACCCTATTCTGGATATTAATTCCTTATTTGGTGTAAACGTTGTAAATATATCCTCCTAGTCTATTAGTATTTTAACTTTGCTTATGCTGTCCATTGTCATACAGAAATGTAATTTTTAAGAATTTTATTTAGTTGAACTTATCACATCTTTTTCTTTGTGACTTTTGTATTTTGTCTTGTTTCCACACCTCCAAGTTAAAAAACATTGTCCTGTATTTTTTTCTAAAATAGAGATTTTGGCATAAAAGTTCGGTGCTTGTGAGGCACTTAAGAAAACAGATTGAGACTAACTAGCCAAAGACAGTTACTTCCCTCCCCTCCTACTCCAACCCCTAAAACTGTGAATCACAACCTAGGAGCACCTCTTTCTAATGCTGCTTCCGGGAAGGTGGAGAAGGTAAAGCCTCGACCTGAGGAGCTATTTTGTGGTGAATAGGGATTAACTTTGGTTCCTTTGCTGCCTGGGGCTCCCACCCTAAGACTCATCCACCCCCTACCCAGAGCTTACTAGGACTGGCCTGGACTGGTGTGTGGCCTTCCTCCATTTCAGTGCCTGACAAAGTAGCTGATACCCCAGAAGAAAATTAATTCACAGGCCAAAATAATAAGTTACTTAGGGGTACAACCATTCCAAAAGAAAAACAACAAAATCAACTACAAATTCTGTGGAGCAAGAATTTTACACTAGATTGCTAACTAGATTGCATACTAAAATAAACAAGAGAAAATATTAGCAATATGAAACAAAAACAAGAAAACATAGAAAAGAGTCAAGCAAAAACATTAGGTACAAAAAGTAAAACAGCTAAAATAAACAATACAATATATGGCATTAATAGGAGAACGGATATAATATAACCATGGAACAAACTCAAATTATAAGGTTGGCTTGAAAAGTCTCCCAGGAAGAAGAAGAAAAGTACAAATAAGTAGACTTTTTAAAAATGCCTAACACCAAGGTTAAGGGTTCAGATCCTAGTACCGGTCAGCTGCCAAAAAATAAAAAAATTAAAATAAAAACCAAAGACCAAAGAAAAAGTAGTATCCATAGTTATCCATAATTAAAAATCAAGACATATCAATGTAATGGTGGTTAGGGTGAGGGAGACTAAAGAATGAGAGATTTCCCTTACCTAATTTCCCATATTTAAATTTCTTTAGATAAAAATTTTAAAAAGAAAATACACAGAAATATAGGATAAGTAGAACAAACTGAAATAAACACTTCATGTACACTATATGGTCCAAATGAATAGCATCTTCAGTCAAATATTGTAAGTGGTGAGTTTTGTTTAACCCAACATATGATGTACAGTCATCAGGATGGGGACATGGGAAGGCTGTATGTATATGGCAAGGATGAGGGAGGAAAGAGAGCCAAGTCCTTACCTCCAGTGGGAATCAAGAACTTAAATAGAAAAATTAAAAGGTGACTAAATAAGCATATTATTTAGAGACATATAGGTAAACAACAAAATAAACTGCCATAAATGAAATGATAGTGGTTGCTTTTAAGGAAGGCAATATGGGGGGCAAGGTGCAGAACTGCTGTTTTTCTTCAAAAATCTTATAGAACTATTTGAACCATTAAACTTTGACATGGGTAGCTTTTATTAAAATGAATACTAATAAGAAGTAAGAAGGGAAAGAAGAGAATGCACAATTCCTAGGGACGGACACACTGCTCTCTGCAGCTTGTCCAGCTCACAAGTCTGGCTCTGTGAACTGCAGGCATAAGTTACATCATATCAGCTAACTGGAAGCAGGGCCTCTTCCGTGGATGACACTTGAGGAATCAATGGAAGACAGCCTGTCCTATTTTAATAAAAAAGAACCACTCTGAAAAAGTTGTGAACTAGGGCTGGCCCGTGGCTCACTAGGGAGAGTGTGGTGCTAATAACACCAAGGCCACGAGTTCGGATCCCTATATAGGGATGGCCAGTTAGCTCACTGGTTGAGCGTGGTGTGGACAACACCAAGCCAAGGGTTAAGATCCCCTTACTGGTCATCTTCAAAATTTTTTTAAAAATATGAAAAAGTTGTGAACTTTTTCATTGTCACTCACCTCTAGTGCAAGTCAGGAGTTCATAGCGGTCCTATTAGGAAGGAGTTTCAACTTCCTATTCCTTTTCCTCACATTTTGGCAACTAAGACTAGTCCTCTGCCAGACACAAAGTTTGGCATGGCTGAACACTGACTACCGCACCTGCCAAAGTCATTAAAGTGACTTCCTCAGAGAGCCCACTGCACATCTTCTTTCTCCAGACCTATACAAGAAACAAGTATTTTTTCTTCCAGAAACAATGACTCCTGCTCACCACCATGGATAATCAATGACCTGCTGAAATGTGCAATGCTTCCACATCAAATGTAGACAACACTGAATGAAGAAAGGATTTTAGCAAACTAAAAGCAATGCTTGTGCTAGGTCATAGTACTTCCGTCCTTTATTGTTATCACACACAATTGCTTTGGCTATTTCCAAGACAGCATACGACGTTACACATGTCGAATCCTGCCTCCTTTATAATGAGACAGAGCTTCAGATGCACAACCTTGAAGCATTTATTCCTATTCTTGTATACAGGTCCTGAGATGGAGTTTTAGTGTTAGAGAGCAAAACAAATACACATGTGGAAGGAAATGGAGCAGTTCAGAAGCCCACGTACCTTCAGCATGTAGTAGAAGGGGAACCATGACAGGAAGAGATCAGAGAAGAACTCGGCAATGCTGAACACACCGTACACTACCCAGTAGGTCAGCCACTGGGTATCATCTTCTTTGTTAGGACTCTCAATGGCTTTAATTCTAAAAGGTAGTACAAAAGAAAGCATTTCATTTAGTAAGATCCCAAACATTTTAAAACATTATACTTTCACAGCCTGTCCTCCAACACCGCTGAGAAATTCAGGCAAAGGTAAGCGCTGTGTAACTAGATGCAAGAAAACAACATAAAGACAGGAAGCAATGTGGAGATGTCAGGACAAGCTGTTAAAACCACTTGTTCCCAGTCCTCTGGTCACCAGAGAAACCAGCACCAGCTGTCACTACTCCTGGATCTCCACCCAGGCCTTAGGAGGTACCACCAGTGACTGGGAACTAGAGTAATTCCATACTCCCAAGCTGGGTCCTGCCATCAGGGATATATCAGTAAGAATTTTCTCATGATAACTAGGTTTTTTCGCACTTTTAATCATTGAGGAGCATGATGGGCGAGTGGGAATTTCCCATAAAGGACTTCTGAAACATATAGTCAGGCACTGCTCAAAGTACATAATATACTTAATAACAAAGAAGGGAAAATAAATATTATGGTGTCCATTTAGTTCAGACGATCATTATGTGATCCTCAGGCTGTGGACTTGCTTCCTCTCATCAGTTAATAATGTGACTTTCCCAACCCTAAGTGCTGCTTAAACAAAATTCACTCTGCAAATGGATGGAAATACATTTTAAATAATCTCCTCTTACTTCCGAATCACAGAAGTTTCCTCTAGTCCTAATTCAGTTCTAAACCTGAAGCTCCACAGTTTCTTACCCTATTTAACAAATATCTGGATATTCCTCATAAGTGAGCTGGATTGAAACAGAAAACTGGAAATCTGAATTTAACTACTGAAAAATTATTGAAGATGCAACTACTGAAAATGCATTGGCTACTCTGTAAAATCAGCTCCCCAAAGAGACAGGCTGCTGAATCAGGCTGAGTCATTTACTTAGAAAGCCCTTGTAAAGTTAATTATAAGCAGCTATTTATGTGCGTGTGCTTGTGTGTGCTTGCATGTTTTAAGAAAATAACAGGGAGAAAGTTACAGCTGAATGAGATGATTGCTAACAATGTATGGAAAAGATAGGCAGAAGGGATGAAGTAAACGCTGCTTTGAACTTCAAAACTGGGCAAGAATTTTTCACTTTTAAGAACAAGAATCATAAATAATTTAAGAGAACACATTATAAAATAATGGCTCGTAACATGTGAACAAAGTCTGTTTTAGCTTTCCTCAGACAGAAACTAGCTAATAGTATAGAAAGCCAAAGAAAAACTGTAGGCAAGCACGTTAACCAAAGAACTAACACAGTACCCCCTTTATACCTAAGATTCTTTTCCCTCTGTGCTTTACTCAGTATAGCGTGGCTTATCTGTTTATGTTTAAGTTGAGATTTTTAGTTATTAGCATAATAAAAATTTGTCTCTTCTACATTCGTCCTGGGCAGAGGGGATACATAGTTACATTTCACTTAAGGTCTTTGCTTTGTGGACCAAAGCAGTTCATGACTAAACTACCTACTATGTACTTCCAAAGAAGGAACTCTGAGAACATGCCTAGGAAATTGAAAAGCCTTCTTAGACTATGATGTGAAAACCTCGAAATGTGATGAGACCGTCATTATTACTTAATCCAAGGACTTTTAAATTCTTTTGACCACAACTCTTAGTGAACATACTTTTTACATCTTGACCCCAGTAAACATACATATCCATATATAAATATAAACTGAAATAAATGTTTCATGAAACCATTCTGATATTTTCAATTCCATTCTATTTGGTTATTTTTAAAATGTTAGTCAAGATCCACAGATTCAAAAACAGAAAAACTACCTTAGCAGCTCTTTGAGGAAGAAAGAATTGTTAGTTCTTTGTTTTATCAATGATATGAATTGAAAAGTTTCCATGTTGGGCCGGCCCGGTGGCGCACTGCTACAGTGCGCCGCTTGGGAGCGTGGCGGCGCTCCCGCCAAGGGTTCGGATCCCACATACAGACCGTTTCCTGCTCACTGGCTGAGCAAGGTGTGGGAGCGACACTGAGGGTTGCGATCCATTGCCGGACACGAAAAAAAAAAAAAAAAAGTTTCCATGTTAATACATTGGAACGCTACATAGTAACATTGAAAAGTAAAAATAAAACACACACATTGATCACAACTTTGTAGAAAATCAAGGCACATGAAAGATAGGAAAAGACCACAGAGTCTTATTTCGCTAAAGAGATTTTTTTATAGAACTTCTTGTATTACTGAAGCATTTAACTATTATTTTAATTTCAAATACCACAATGTTCATTTTTTAAAAATGTGTCTACATGTCATAACATCATAAGCTACTGAAAACAAGAAAGAACATAAGAAATAGTTTAACCTATCAAGGAACCTGAGACTCAAAAAGTAAAGAGCTCCAATTTTGTCATGGTGAGAGAACAAAAGAGCTTAACACTAGGGTTTCCTAAATGCTATTTACTTATATAGCTTCTGAATAGACTTCCTTGTCCAAGTGAGTGGATACAGGTGATTCTTCAGCAATACACTCTAGTGCCTTGTACATAAACTGAATCAAATTCTAATTAAGGAGGTTTCAGTCAAGATGGCAGAATAGATAGTCCCCAGCGTCACTCTCTCCCACAAATCAACCAATTTACAACTATAAAAAAGTAAGGACAGCCAAGCTGGGGCCACTAGAGCTCAGGGGAAGAGGAGGAGAGACCATGGAGTCCATGAAGGTGGGAGAAGCCATGATGAGAGAAAGAATGAACTGCTCCGATTGATCAATCGTTTCAAATCTCAGCCACTTCCAAGGCAGGAGCTGGCAAAACCACTGCTGTCCCCTTCGGATGAAGTTGCTTGGAGGCAGTAGGGGAAAACAGGGCCTTGGTGGCCCCCAGGCCAGTAAGACCACTAATAGGGTTCCCACAGACCTACATAGGAGCAAGGAGGCACAACAACTGAAAAAAAGGAGCCACTCACAGGCCAGTGAGTCATTGCAAGGAACTGGAGCATGACCCGTCCTGTGGGAAGTGTTTGGAGCACGGGTGGTGGCCGGGGGAAAACTGAGGCACAGCAAGGACAGCCAATTTGCCCCCTAATCAGCGTAAGACCACTCAGAGGAGACTGGTCAGGAACACAGAATTGCATAGGGTGCCGATTGATAAAAAGACTCAGGCCCACACCAGAGTTTCTACACAACCCAGGTGCACTCGATCTAACTAGACCTGGAATTTCCTATAAAGTCAACCATTAAAACCCGAGCTCCACAAAAAGCCTTCCCTAGGGAATCAGCAGCAAAACAGCAATTTAGCTCAACCACAGGGCTCAAATACTGGTCCCCACAGGAAGTTCCCCCATTTTAGAAGTAAGCAAAGGACAACAAATTAGTTCCAGCACAGAGTTTAACTGGTGGGTACAACAAATAATCCAACACAGAACTGGAAGAAAAACCAAAGTACCCACAACCAGAGACAAAGTTTGATATTAACTAGTAAAGGTGTCTTTCACCAAAGAACATCTATAACACCTAGAACCAGAAGTCCCCTGGGCTATCAAGCCAGAAAAGTGGGAAGGCTGGGTGCTTCAGCCATGCCCCCCCCAACACCTGCAACCAGTCCTGAGGGTAGGGGCCAAGGGCCTCAGCCATACCCCGCAACACGCACAACCACCACAGTGATGACCACCAAACTGCCACAGGAAGCACCCCAGGCTCTCCCAAGCCGCAGTGGTGGGGGGCCTCGGGCCTTGTCCACACCCTCCTAACAGGCACAACCAGCCCAGCAACAACCACCAAGCTGCAGCAAGAAAGGCCCTGGGTTCCCGAGATGGGGAGGTGGGAGGCGAGGGCTTTTGCCCCATCATCCTGACATCTGCACCCAGCCTGGCAATGACCAAGCCTCCACTGGAAGCCCCCCAGTCTCCCCTGTGGGAATGAGGGGGGTGCTGCAGGCCTCAGTCCTGCCCCTCCTCCATCTTCTTTCTTCCATCCCATTTCCTTCCCTTGTCCCCTCTCCCCCTCCCTACCAACTGCTCCACAACAATATCACAGAATGTAAAAAAGATAATAATATTAATAAAAAATAAATAAAAGTAAGCTACTAGAATGAAATGGGAAAAAAAAAACAAGTTCTAACTCTGTGTACAGAATGAGGATGTAGCAACATAGGGGATTCAAGATATCATAGGATACAGTCTATGCCCTTGGGTTATTTACAGTCAAGCCAAAATGGCAAAGTTAAAAAGTAGGAGGGGTGGAAACCTAATAATTATGTAATTTAACCTTCTTAATAGCCCAGTGAAATAGGTATTATTGTTCCTATATTTGAAATGAAGAAACTGAGGCTTAAAGAAGAGAAATAACATGCAGGGCACCCAGCTACAAGCAACAGAGATAGGATTTATGCCTAAGACCACCTCCAAAGCTTGTGCTTGTTACACTATCCCATGCTGTTTTCCTAATTAGGAGAACAAATCAGCACCAGGCTGGGCAGCACTTAGCAAAATGTCTGGTACATAGTGGACATTTAATATATATTGAATTAATATAAATACAACGGGAATTTACAACCTTACTTTTGCAAGGGACCCCAGAGATCTAGTCCTATGCTGGAGGAAACCAAAGCTCAGAAAGGTTAAATTGGTCACAGAGCAGAAAAATAGAAGGAAAAGTCATAGTCTCAAGGTCCAGATCCCTGCAGGACCATTCCACCCTCCACCTACTTGGGTGCAGAGGGGGGACCATTTGAAGTGAACAGGACGTGCCCTGAGTTGGTGCCCGAGCCCCCTGGTTCTCAAATGAAGATGATCATCCACATCCACCTAGGGACCTTATTAAAAATACATAGGCCTGGGCCTTCTCCAGAACTAGTTATTCAAAATGTGACAGATAAAGCAAAGGTGTATGTTCTTACAAAGTTGTGCAGGTGACTGTAATGCAGAACCAAGTTTAAGAACCACCAGCTCAAAGTTCGTCTTAGCAGCACCTCCCCTACTTGTTTCTAGGAAAGAAAATCCAAATGACCAATTTAGGTCCAATCAGCTATCAT